GGAGTCGTGAATGAAAATAAACCCGGCAAATTGAGGTTCGTCTTTGATGCGGCTGCCAAGGTGGAAGGGAAATGTTTAAATGATTTTTTATTAAGAGGACCTGATTTATTGAATTCTTTTGTTGGAGTTATTTCCGAAAACAGAGAGAAAAATGTAGCTTTCTCAGCAGATATTCGAGATATGTTCCACAGAATAGTTATCAGAAAAAAAGATCGTGCTGGACAACGATTTCTCTGGAGAAATAATTCCAATGAAGAACCTAGCACGTATGAAATGAAGGTGCTGACTTTTGGTTCTGTGGGCTCGCCTTTTTCGGCACAATATATTAAAAATCGAAATACATTAGAGTTCCAGACGAAGTATCTTCAAGCTGTAGATGGAATAATAAATAGGCATCATATGGATGATTATCTTGACAGTATGTCCACAGACAAGGAGGATTTGAACTGAGAGGGTGGGTATGCAATTCGAAAGAAGTTTTATAGACATATTCCAGAGGAACTTAGGGGTGATGAAAAACTTCTGCAAGAAAGAAACAATTTGTCACAGAGAATTCTCGGTTTGAAATGGATTCCATCATCCGATCATTTGGCGTTTTCTTTGAATTTTTCAAAAATGAAAGAAATGATTTCGAAAGAAAAAAATCCAACAAAGAGGCAGATCCTCAAAATAGTGATGTCTCTTTATGATCCTCTAGGACTGCTCGCACACTATGTCATTAGAGCAAAAATTCTTTCACAGGATATATGGAGAAATGGCATAGGTTGGGATGATGAGATAACTCATAATCAGAATATTAAATGGGAGAAACGGATTGATGTATTTGCAAAAATTTAAGATCTCAAGATACCTAGGTGTTATGCATTGAACTTCATTTATGATTTTAATTTACAGCTTCACATCTTCTGTGACGGGAGTGAGCAAGCGTTTTCGGCAGTAGGTTATTTCAGATTTGAGAAGAACGAAAACATTCATGTCTCTTTGGTGATGGCAAGGACGCAAGTAGCACCTCTAAAGCCAATAACAATTCCACGTTTGGAACTTCAAGCCGATGTAATGGGTTCCAGATTGGCAATAACAATAAGGAAAGAACATTCATTCGAATTGAATCAAACACACTTTTGGAAAGACTCGAAAACGGTTTTGTGTTGGTTGAGATCGGAACCAAGAATGATCAAAACTTTTATTACGCATCGAGTGGGCGAGATTCAGGAGAACACGAAAATGCCTGACTGGCATTGGATTCCTTCCAATCTGAACATAGCAGATGAAGCTACTCGAGATACAAAAGACATAAATCTACAAGAAAACAGTCAGTGGGTTCATGGTCCGGAACTTTTATACAAAAAACAAGAATTTTGGCCAATGGACGAAGAAATTCAAGAAAATCCAGATACCTTCGAACTTAAACATGAATTCATATTATTGATAGTTTCACATAGAATTGAATATTTACCAGACATCACAAGATTTTCTGACTACATGAAATTGATAAGAAGCACAGCCTATGTTTTCAGATTTCAACATAATATCAAACAACTTGGCAAAAATCTCCAAAAACAAGAATTGACAATTGAAGAATTGAAGAGAGTAGAAAGAATTTGGAATAGGAAAGTGCAAGAGGATTGTTTTTCAGAAGAATACTATCTTCTGATGAAAAATAGACCTATACAAAAATCAAGCAAACTTTATCAATTGTCACCATATATGGAAGATGATATTATTTGTTTGGGAAGAAGAACAGATAACTCTACAGAGCTTTCTCCTCAAGCAAAGAGGCTAATCATACTAGACAATAAACACACATTCACTTGATCACTTGTTCAATTTTATCATTCAAAAAACAATCATGCAGGTCTACAACAAACTCTAAATGAAATAAGGCAAAGATTTTGGATACTGCAGGCCAGAAAACTGGTACCTACAACAATAAGGTTTTACAATTTCTGTAGCATAAGAAGAACAAAACCTCAGGTTCCTGCGATGGGACAACTTCCAGAGCAACGACTGCAGACACCACCTAGAGCATTCACCTATACTGGAATGGATTATTTTGGACCCATGGAAGTTTCAATTGAACGAAGAAAAGAAAAAAGATATGGGGTAATCTTCACATGTCTTTCAATTAGAGCTGTCCATATAGAGATCGCAGAATCTCTCACCATAGATTCAGCGATTTTAGCAATAAGGAGATTCATTTCTAGGAGGGGACAGCCTTTATCAATTTGGAGCGACAATGGTTCAAATCTTACTTCAGGAAACCGAGAATTGAAGGAAATAATCAGATATTTAGACGAAGATTTAATCAAGAGGAAGATGGTATCTCAGGAAATTGATTGGAAGTTCATTCCACCAGCAAGCCCACATATGGGTGGAATATGGGAGCGCATGGTACGCTCGGTGAAAGATGGACTGAAAAAGATTCTGAACGAAAAAGCACCTAAGCAAGAAGTTCTTTCAACTTTGCTAGCAGAAGTGGAACATATAGTAAACAGTAGACCTCTGACATATGTATCTGCCGATGGAGAGGATTTCGAAAGTCTTATACCAAATCATTTCCTCATAGGTACATCTGGCATAGCAAAGCCACCTATAACTTTTGATGCAAATGAAATCAACTACGATTTGAAAAAACGTTGGCAGTTTTCACAACAACTTGCAGAACATTTCTGGAATCGTTGGATTAGGGAATACATACCCACACTCACAAAGAGATGCAAATGGTTTCAAGAAAAGAAAAATGTAGCAAAGGGTGATATTGTCATACTCATGGATAATAAGCTACCAAAAAACAATTGGCCATTAGGAAAAATTGTTGACGTACACCCCGGTAAAGATAGAAGAGTAAGAGTCGTAGATATCAAGATTCAAGACAATATTTATCGCCGCCCTGTTGCCAAGCTGTGTCCAATTCAGTTATTAGAAGGAAGTATTCAAAACTAGTTCATTGTTCGAATACAGGGGACAGAATGTTGAGTTTTATTTTAAATAAGAATCACTTTGTATTTGTTTTGACATGTGAAAAATTAGTTGAATGACAGTTTTGGTAAACAAGAAGAATAAAAACGCTTTTGAAGAAAAAAGAAAAAGTTTGCGTTTTATTCATAGCAGTATATTCAGAAACGATAAACATTGTGCCGGTCTTCGAGCGGATATACTAATAGTGCACATTTCTAGGTAAATATAAACACCATGGATCCTGAGCGTACATTTTTTAGAGGGATTAGCAGGAGCAAGTAATACGGTAACGTTTAAATCTGATCTACTGTTGAATAATATAAACACTATAACTAATGACAAAATCAGTCATTTACTGACTGCTATTAATGAACTTGAAAATATAAAATTTCTTTGCTTAGTAGAAATAGGCAGTAAACAGGTTGTTGTGAATGATGTTTCTGGGTTTGAACTTGTCAGTTCTTATTGTAGATCTGCGTTACGTTGTGGAGGTGTAGGAATTTGGGCTCGTTTAGACTTAGTAATTGATATTATTGACTTGTTAGATTTTTGTTTACAGCAACATTTTGAAATCTGTGCATATATCTATAAATGTGATGGAACAACTTTTTGTATCTTGAATTAATATAGGTCACCGTCAGCAGACGAAAACATATTTTTACAAATTACAATTTCCTTTTATGTGGGGATTTTAATTTTGATGGATTCAAAAATACGAACTTCAACAATTTGTCATTAATTTTGTTGTCATAATATGACACCAAAATTGGTGCAAGGTTATATTATAACCTTTCACCAAAGGTAGTGTGGCCTCTACCTCAATCGATCAAGTATTCTCAGATGTGAATTGTGGAACATGTTGTGTAATAGACAATATATACTCTGACCAAAGAACTGTACTTTTTGACTTTCTTCACAACACAACAAAAATTGTTCAGACACGAGAAGACACTTCAGCGAACAAAACATTTGTAATTATAAAAATGCCTTGATGAAAGAGGATTGGAGAGACCTTGGCAAAATTTCAAATTTAAATGCGAGTTTTGAATATTTCTACAATGTATTCTTATTTATATCATTTCGATTTGAGTTTTTCTGAAATTGAATACAAAGACCTTTTTATCCTACAAAAGAACTATGCTAACCACGAACGTCGCCATGGGGGTGGGGGGCGTCATGGTAAAAAAATGAATGAGAATAAAAAAAATAAAAATTAGAGAAAAGAAAGGGAGAGGTAATAAGAAAAGGGAAAGAACCGGGAGAAGGTTGGGATTTCCCAACAAGCATAACTTGGAGATCCCATACTTTGAAATTCTGAGTTGTTTGAAAACTTCATAAAAGTTTAATTTCTCCCAAGTAAGAGAACAGTCCTGAACAGTCCACAAATTTTGAAGTGACAATTTTACAAAATTCTCAACTTTTCGCTATTTTTTCGACTTGGAAAAGTTGTGAAATTTCGGGCCATGAAAATAGAAAAAATAATAGTAGAAAAGAATAAGCACAATATCATTCAAGTGTTGTTTCCTTTCATTTGTATTGAATATTCCTATACGTGGTGGATATGGTGGAAGACCAAGGACCTTGGTCCAAAGTAAAATAATTCCCATTTTTATAATTATCAAAATTTATTTTTGTTTGTGCATACCCTAACGGACATAAGCATTCAGCCAATCTTTGGATAGCTAGGTAAGAAAATCAATATATTATAGTAGTGACTGGTGGGGTTGGGAAAATTTGGATTCCCTCCCCCCCCCTGGTATTTCTTTTCGCTACGGCCCTGATGCTAACATTATCCCTATTTAAAACCAAAAAATGGGAGAACATAATTATTTAGTCCAAAAACAAAAAATCACACATTAAAAACGGCTTCCTTTTTATGATGCTGCTTTTTTATGTAGAAATGAATAAGTCAAAACCGGAAAAGTTTTGCACTTTTGAAATTTGAAACTGGAAAAATGACTATTGAAATTATAATTTAATTACAAAAAATGAATTCGATTTCAGACAGAAAAATGTTCATCGAAATGAATTGATGTAAGTACCTGAATGAAGATAGCTCTTGATAGAAGTTAAATAAACTAACACTTCCTCGAACTGTCCTGCGAGAAAGAAAGCAGCTGCCATACACTGCCTTCCATGAATCGTATCGCATTCGCTGGTTGAACTCCCAACTAAGTGAAAACACTCTTCTGCTACTTTCACATGTTCAGGCTAAAAATTTAATACATTACTGATATATTGAAAGTCTGCTGAAAAGTCTATAAACTAAGTGTTTCAAAATTTGCCTAGATCTGCAGGGAATAATGAACGAAGTTTTATATAATTGAAAATACGAATGATCAGTAAATGATGTACTATGTACCAAATTCAATTCTTGACCAAGTGCAGCATTAACAACTCCTTTCAAAATATATTCTTGTGGTACTGCAGGTTGTAGGTCTTTCAACAGATCAAATGCTTCTTTGATATCATTGTTTCGAAGATGATGAATTACTAAGTTCAATCTTGCTTCTGGTACTACATCTACCAATGATGGGAAAACCTACGTAGTAATAGAAGTTAGTTGAATGAATGATTGATTAGGTGAACTATTTTAAACTATAATTAACAATACCTGCATAGCACCTTCTCCATCTCTAAAAACTACCAAGTTGTGTTTCAGTAGATCATATCCAAAGCCTACGTTGGCACTTTGATCTATAATGGTTCTTAGTTCATTTTCAGCAGATGTACCATTATAAAGACGGAAGGTGTTGCAAGCCTGAAAATCAATGTCATTCAAATCATTATAAAATGAAATTCAAATAATTGATTCAATTTCATTGATTATTTTTTGCCTGCACCTACAACACATAGTACCTACTTAGAAGCTATAAGAGGGCCACACTCTTCTTTTTAGTTCAACCGACTTTTTCACAAGGTTCCAAGTTTTTTTCTTTATCTCTAAAATATAGTTTTTTTTGGAAAATATTCAAACCGTCTTTTTTATTACATGAATAACTAAGGAAAATTATTCAGTGTACACTATTTTCAATAATATAACATCCTCCCCCTTCGAATTGATTGTAGTTTATCTTTTCTCATCCTCCATGTCTATTCTGCATAGCTTCACTACTGGCCGTTTGTAGACTTCTGTTACTGTTTTCTCATACGAGGTCCGGCTATTAAATAACGAGAATGCGCGTCTAAAGGGCTCCCTAGAGGGGTGGAGAAAAACGAGTAGTGCGTTGTGTAGGTATCTGGAAATTTTCTCTATTCACGTACCACGTATTTGGGGAGTAGCGGCTTGAAACGAACGTGTTTTTTTCTCCGAAAACCATGTGTGACGAAAAATAAGAGCAACGTATTAATCTCAAATTTCTCGTTTAATTGAAAAAAATTCCGAGTGAATGCTATAAATTGTTGCAAGAGGCCTATGGGGACAGTTCTCTATCTCGTGCGCGTGTATTTGAGTTGTGTAAGCGCTTCAGTGAGGGCCGAGAGAGCAAGGATGTCCAAATCAAAATTCAAGGCAATGTTAATCGTGTTTTTCGACATTAATGTTATCGTGATGACTGAATAGGTTCCAGAGGGTCAATCTGTCAACCAGACTTATTATTTGTTAGTTTTGGCAACACTGCGAGAACGAGTTCGTAAGAAACGGCCCGAGAACAATTCGTGTAGTTTGCACCAGAACAACGCACCTGCCCATAAAGCGCTATCTATGAAGCGGTATTTGGCCGATAAACGAACTCCAGTGCTCGAACACGCGCCGTACTCGCCAGATTTGGCAGTGTGTGACTTTTCTTGTTTACAAAGATAAAATTTGCGTTGGAAGGGACACGATTTGAGTCGTTGGAAGCGGTAAAGCAAAAAATGGCAGAGCTCCTAAAGGCCTTCACAAAAGAAGACTTCCAGCACTGCTTCGATCAATGGAAAAACCGTATGGAAAGGAGTGTAGCAAAGGGAGGGGAGTATATTGATGGGGAGTATTCGAATGGAGAATAATTTTTATATTAAAACCCTTTCGTAACCATTGTTATTTAATAGCAGAGGACCTCGAATTTTAATTGTTTCGAAAGTTTTTTCGTTTCAATGTCATGTGTTTTTGTAGCTCCATATCTCAATAAATATTGATTCTACTATGTCGTGGTATACACTGATCGATGCTGTTAATTTTTTTCCTCTTTTCAGCTTATTACTATATGATGTAGTTAGGCGATTTATGGCCAATTTTGAATTCAAATTGAACCAAAGCACTGCCGAAACAGCAGATTTTGCTTCATTCTGGGGATGTCTGATGTTCACAATTTTTTTCTTCAGAAAAGCAGATGTATGTTTATATCATGTGATTAAATTAGGCTATTCTTCGGGTTTCCGATCAAAAGGTCTTTTTTCAACTACCTCTCTTGCAAAAAAATTGACTGGTTTCGTAGAAGGGTCGATGTATTTAATAGCATAACACAATTGAAGTTTTTCACTTCACATCTTTTTGTTTACTGGTTTACATTCCGGTTGTATTTATATATCCAGACTTGTATAATATTTCCATCAGGTACATTTCGAAATGAAGACAACAAATATTTCAATGGAATTGAAGTTTGATAACTTTTCCAAACACGCTAAGATTATGTTAAAAATTATGTATAGAATTGAATAACAGCTCCCTTTAAGATATAAAAAATGTATACATTTTTTTAATCAACTCAAAACTACAATGCTTCAGATCTATTTGGAAAACTGCTGAAGAATATACCTACACCAAATCACTCAAACTTTTTCAGAAACCACAACAGAAAAATGTATTTTCAATCTGGACTTAAACCAACTCCAAATCTTCATGAACATAAGGACTTCTAGAAACTTCTAATAAATACGAAATAATTTTTTGTTCATTCAAAAAAAAGAAGGAATATTGTATCATTCAACAAGGCAAGGAAATAATTCATCACTCATCCAGGTGAATACTTTTAAAAATACTTAAAAAACTATTTTTTGACTGATGAAAACCATTTATTGAGCTTGATATAATTATTTGAAAAAAATCTTCAATTATTTACTGCTTGATAAAAAATTAAGAAAGAGTTATTTTCAGCGGCGAAGCTGAGGCAATGGAACTAGTTGAGGCAAACAATCTGTTTCTCTGCAGTGTATTGTTAAGTTTTTCCCCGTGGGTTCACCAATAATTGACTACACTGAATAATTAAACTCAACTTTATTTCATTTTAAATACACAAATAATTCAACTGAAACTTCAACTATTATTTGAATGTCTATTGCCTTACTAAATCACTTCGCCGCACTGTAACGTCCACTTGAGTGTCCCGATATCCCGTATCCTTTAAATATCGTAATCGAATGCTGTAGAAATTCCTCCGAAGTTCTGTCGAAGTCGGTAGCACTATTCTCGCTGCTTCTCGAGTGGCGGAGAATCATCGTACATCGGCGCGTTCTTAGCTACGTCACCCTTGGTTTATGGCTACCAGTGGCGGCAGGCGTTATTTTTTTTCGGGCATGATTTAAAACAGTATTATTGCATCTGTAGTGTAGATGAAGTTGAAAAATTGTTCGCACATTACTATAAATACCCACAATCATTAATATTATATAGAACTTCATCTACTTATATTTTTGTTGTGTTCTGTGTTATTTTCATTGTGTTCTGTGTAATGTTCGGTATTCCGATTCAATAACCCTGAAGAGGCATAAGCCTATAGCAGGGCCCCACACAACACAATACACATTCACAATATTTTGTAAATATTCTTAAAAACCAATAAACATTTTTGACTTGACTTGACCGATTTAAATTATCTACGTTACAGTTAAAACTATAATGAAATTCTGAATTTTGTCGTAATTTTTATAGGTATCTGCCTTCAATTATATTTTTCACAAAAATATACTCACAGTGTTATTTTTTTGAAGTTAATTTATCAGAGTATCTTTGACGGGTGCTTATACAGAGCAACATTACAAAAAAAAAGAAGGAAAAAATGAAGACTTTCACGACTGGAGATAACTGTGTGAAAGCTTTTTTCCGGGTTTTATTGCCTGACGTTTCGTTTACTACTGCGGCAGATATTATCAAAGGTGATGTGGTAACACTCCTAGTGTCCGAGATTATGCTCAAGTTGTTGTTATGAATGCCTCACTTACGATGCTAGTATTTGACTCTGGTATTATATTATTATTAATGGGCATGGCATGGTTTCTCTGAATTGGGTTACCTGACCTTGTTTGTGTACAATTGAGGACAGGTAGCCAGATTTTATTGAGGTTAATTGACAAGGAAAAATTAATTATTTTTACGCCTGAAACTAAAAAAATAATGTTTAATGCTAAACATTAAAAATATCACTTCTATGATCGATAAGTAGTCGTATCACTGAAACTGACACGAAGAATATTTACATGTATATTGAGTTAATAGTTGTTTATAAATAATGGTTTTCGAGAAAAAAAGTTATTGTTATTTTTAAGGATATTTCATAAATGCTGATGAGATTTAGTTCTTCAGACAGTAAAAGCATTATTTGAAATTATAACTGTAATAATGGAATTATTTTAAGATACTTTCCACAATTTTATCAGGTGTTGAAATTACGAAAATATATATTTTCATCGACAACAATTACAGATAAATCACACTGAGGGATAAAACCATAGTTTTACTTTATGTAAAAATCACAGTTACCTTCAAGTTGGTAGCAATTACAGAGTCGGAGTATTGATTCAGGTACATCCCTAAAACTTCTTGAGATACATCATAATAATCCAGTTTATAATAGCAAAGAGCTACGTATACATTCAAGGCTATATTCTCCCTGAAATCGAATAAAAGCCTTCATTGAATTCTTGTTTAGTAGAATAATAACAAAATTAAAATAAACTAAAATATGCCACAGGCTTGAATTCACTTGGATTATAGTGAGCACTGGGAAGGCCAAAAAATTATTCAAAAACTTTTCAGAAATTTGCACTGTGTCGGAAATCAACTAGAAATCATTATCAACAAGACCATTATGCCTTTGTTTTTTCAGAGCTTTGCCTTCAAAAGAGCACCATATGAGAAGATGGTTCCAAAGTTCCTTTTCAACTTTGAAATACCAATGGTACCAAGTTCAGGATAACTCATCAGTGTTTCTATATGGTTTCAAAGCCAAATTTTATACTATATGTGATGGAATCGGCCAATACTTGACGAAAATCCATAACGAATTCAATAAAACACTTCATTGTGAAAATTTCACAATAAAGTGGTTCTTGAATAACATTTATACTGATAACTTAGTAGTCAAAATCATAATTAATAAATTTAATATTCATGAGCTGATGTGATGAAAGAGACTCAGTGTCAATCAAAGTAATGAAAGTGCTAAATATTATTCAGCTGACAGTTCATTGTCTAACCTAAAAAGATTGGAATCCTGGCTGTCGACTATCTTGACTCTTTTAGAATGTTCAATTTCATTATTATGTTTGGAGATCCGCCAGTACCACACTTGTGTGTACTTCAACTGCATTTTCCTTTTACGAAACATCGAAAGCGGTTGAGCAAGGCCTTGAAGATTTGTTATTATCTTATACAAAAGCTTCCACTTTTAAGCAGATCGCAACAAAACTATATTGGTATAATGAAAAACTAAGATGTTTAAAAATTGAATGAAACTGGTCGATACTTGATAAAAATTCATATAAAAACTTACTCATGAGATTTATTTCGATTTTCACTGTAAAAGGTTTACAAAACCGTGACACGTCTTTCGTTATACAGGGTGTTTCATAACTGAATGCTTATCCTGAAGAGCAATAATCCTTGAATGATTTTAAGAAAAATTATTTATATCAACAAAAGTCTGCAACTGCTTTATTTCTGAGATACCGGATGATGAAATTCAACAAAAAAAATTTCTCCGGATATCTTCTGGAACCGCTTTGTTTTTTTCAATTTTGGTATATAAAAATAATTTCAATTCATGGTAAAGGTCCCTGTGGCGTCCCTGTCAACATTCCTGGTCATATTTTTTATCAAAATCATGACACGCCACTGCCCAAAAATGATTATTATGAACAATTCTGATTCTGTGTTTAGTAAAATTAGCTACATCCGTGAAAAAAATTTCCCTGTCAAATAACGGATTATAGGTAACTTTTTGGAGAAACCATTGGCAAAAATTCACTCGTTAGAGAAAGTCTCGAGGAAGTAGAGTATGAACCCGTTAAATGTAGTAGGGATATAATAAATAATCATGCATAGTCCTCTATACTAGAATATGGGTGATATTCAAATTATTTGCAACTTGCCTCGTAGGCACCAAGTTATTTCAGGGTTTTCGTCTGAATTTAAAACAGCTACCTCAGTTGAAAGAGTTCTTGCAGAACAAACGTACTGTTTTACATCTTCTGTGGGTGCTTGAAATGGTTTGAGCATCAGAAACAATTGTATTTGGAAAACACTCTTGATACAGTCGCCTGGCTTCACATGCGTTCTCGTCAGCAAGCCCATTCAGTATGCCTGCTAATTCGGTATTCGTAAAATTTACCATTTTTATTTTTCAGAAAACAAATGTCTAGCCCACAAAGTAATCGTACTATACTTCAACAGCTGATTTCGCCTAGGGACAAGCAAATGAATGAATTTTATTTTTCACCTCAAAAACCGTTCGCCGGACAAAAAAAAACACAATTTTTATGAGTAGATAGAGGATAGTTAGGAAAATAATATTATTATTTATTTGGAAAGAGGACAGTGCAGTATTTGATAGAAAAATATGACAGGGCATGTTAACAGGGACACCACAGATGAGCATTCAGAAAAGCTTTACCATGAAGAAAATGTATTTTCATGAGTACTTTGCATGTACGAAAATTGAAGGTGGTTTCAGAGATATTATTATGAAACACCCATTACAATGGCTTTCTCAAGCAAATCATAGTGAAAATATAAATAAATCGTGTTAACAAGTTTTGAGATGTTCAATTATCTGTATAAATGAAATTTAAAAATAATAATCACTATGAAAACAAAGAGAATTGAAATTTTCTGTTTTTTACCCCTTTTATTTGTAACTAATGTTACTGCAGTTTCGTCCTATAAGGATATTTTCGAACTTATACATTAAACTCAGTTCAATGTAGTAACGTTAGTTACTGCAGTTAGTTACTGAAGTAACGTTAGTTACAAATAAAAGTGTTAAAAACATAGAAAATTTCAATTCTTTTTGTTTTTTTCATAATGATTTCCCATCACGTAGTAACGGCTACATCCATCAATTTATTATAATCATTACTGTTACCTGTTTTGAAGAAGCAATCTTTTATATATGTCGATAGCTTCTTGATAATGAGCTCTCAGATAATGAATAGCTGCAAGACTGAGTTGATCTTCCAGAACATCTTGCAATTGTTGATGATATTCCATCAGAGTGGCTTCGTCTCGCAACTTGTGTGACAGATGAAAATTAAGTCTTGTTTTAAGACCACTAGATGGAGCTTTCTTCAAAATCTCTTTAGAATCATCATACATCCCTAAAACACGTTAAAGCTTAACCATTGCGAATCTTCGAGCAGCAGATTTCAATGAGGCCCATATCTATTGCGGAAGGGATGTAAATTGGATAGAGGTATTTCTGGTGGTGGAGAAGAGATGAAATTTATCACAACATATTATATACAACACAACATATTATATACATATACAAGGTCTTTCCGCCGCGTTTGTCTGTCTGAACGCGATAAACTCAAAAACTACCGAACGGATATTTTCATACGGTTTTCACCAATGGACGGATTGATTGAAATGGAACGTTCACGTGTATAATTTATAATGTTTTATTTGAATTGTTTGAAATATGACGATGCTGTCAGTGAGAAGTCGTTTGGCGGTGCTACCCATGTGAGTTTTTATAAAAAATGGTGTTTATTCTTCAGTTCAATGTAGTAATGTTAGTTACTGCAGTTAGTTACTGAAGTAACGTTAGTTACAAATAAAAGTGTTAAAAACATAGAAAATTTCAATTCTTTTTGTTATTTTCATAATGATTTCCCATCACGTAGTAACGGCTACATCCATCAATTTATTATAATCATTACTGTTACCTGTTTTGAAGAAGCAATCTTTTATATATTATATCCGGTTCGGAAACATTTATCTTCTTGGAGAAAACCGATGCCTGGGTTTTTATGGCATTGAACTTGGTTACTTTCACCCCAATTCGAAAGTGTTTCTAGATCCTCATTGTCCTGGGATCCAAATGTAATGACGAGATAAGTGTGCTGTCGTCAGCAAAGCAGTATATTGGATTTTTGTTTTTTCTCCAATAGGTCGTTGATATACAATAAAAAGATGGGTTGGAAACAATGTGGATCCCTGGGAAACACCAGCTTTGATGATGAAAGTATTCGAGAGGTATCCATCGACAGCCATTTGCAGAAAACGTTCTTTCGGGAAGCTGAAGAGCCATACACAAAAATGATCCGACAAGCCATAGCATCAAAGTTTGCCCAGCAAACCCTCATGCCACATACGTCAAATACCTTAGAAATATCAAGCGCAACAGCTCTTGATTCTCCATGTTTCTCGATTGCGTTATTCCAAATATGGTTGACATACGATAGAAGGTCGCCTGTTGATCTTTGTTAACGAAAAACATATTGATGATCGCTTCAGATGTTGAGGCTTTCCAAATATTTGAGGATATGCTGGTTTACGGCTTTCTCCATGATTTTTGATATAACTGAAAGCAAAACGACTGGTCTTGGAAGAGTTTTCTTGCCCTTTTTGGGAATGGGCTGAACGTGGGTAATCTTTCAACAAGAAGAAAAAACCCCTTTCTTGTATGACAGGTTGAAAAGTCTGCAAAATACTGATGCGAGTTCATTTGCGCACTTTTTAGGTACGAGTGAATTTTTTCAAAGTTCAATTTTATTAGTAACTGACAGAAAAAAGGTTGGCATACATGTTTTGATACCAGGATTTCTAGTAAATACATCAATTGAAATGTTGAATGAAAAAATTTATAAAAAATAAAAAAGACATTTGCGACTTCGCTAAAATCCTAATTAAAACACAATCTCATGAATGAGTTATGTTATTTTCAATAAAAAGAATAGCAAGAGTTGAAACCTGAGCTTATATCATTTTCATTATCAAATAACTCCTTTCTACAGACGCAACTGTCACATACCTATGCTATGACCATAATTCTCAGAACTACTTTACTGATGTGGTGATTATTTTTTTCTCTATCATCTATCTATCGAGACAATATTATCGTTTTCTTTACATGAGCGGCTAGCAGAATAAGTGGATGATAAGTAAGAGTTGATTATATATTCCATGATGAAAACTGCTGTCATTTATTATTGAATCAGTAGAATATAACAAAATAATGATCGTTGTCAATTCCTCTCAATTAAATGAACCATCTCGTTATGTATCAATGGAGATGCAGACTTTTTGACTCTACTTCATGATTAATTCCCAACTGCAACGAAACTAATACTAGACACCATTTTCTAATAATGTTGCTCCCCCACTCGTCACAAAGTTGAGGGTTGCCAACTTTGATAGTAATAGAAGCAAATGCGTTAAAACATTACACATCTGACACACTGGTGGGTGCAAGGGATGTCATAGGAGCTATGCCTACCTCCCTCAGTCTGTTAATCTCTCTAGCGGCGACTTCATGGAAAAACGTGTGTCATCAATACTCCAATTGCTAATAAACATATAACATGAATACCTACTACCACACATCCTGATTTCAGCCCATATTTTTGTGTAGAGTTACGTATTTATTCAAAATTTGGCTTTCAAAATGTCCACGAATTTCTATTCACATTTGAAGATCGACAAATTTCCAACACCAGAAGTATTCCCAAAACATTTTTTTGGGCTTTCTTCCCCACTCCGAAGATCATTCTGGATCCACCACAGATCTCATTTTAGTACCTTATCAGTACCAGATTTGACTGATATTCAACTGAAGACAAAAAAACAGAATGTCAATTTGTGATTGAAGTTACGAGTATCTGAAATAATGGAAAAACAGATATATTTGAAAAATTCGTTTTTCGTTCCTCGGTCACCTTATCTGATCGTTACAGTTTTCGAAAGCCCGTTTTGTGTCTTCCTAAATGTATCACAATTTCTAATTCTGAATTAATAATGAAAACGTGTCTCTGCATTAGTACCATTAATTTTTCAATCTCTCATATTAAAAAGACATTTTCAATCGCAGTGAATAACTATTGTCGATCATAAAAAAGGCTTGTAAATGTAGTAGATTGTTTCCCTGAATGCATAAAAAAAGTAGTAGAGTTACACAGCAATTAAATGCACTAGACCCGTGTAACCGATTAACGTAAATACTAAAATTTGTACTTTGAAACTGAACTTTTCGAGTATACGATATCATTCTTCTGGAAATACCTAATCTCATCATACAGGGTGGGGTATCGAAAACGAAACAGATCGAATATCTTCATAACACAAGTTTTCTGAAAAAAATCCAAAAACACGTCGATTTGTAATCCAAGAGGGACATCTCTTTCTATCATAACCTCAACTGTCATACCTCTCCCCCCACCCCTCGGTCACTATCATCCAAACAATTTGAATAGGGAAAGTAGTAAGTGTGACACATCATTAAAAAGTAATTTCATAAGGAATTCGGCCATGTCAATTTTCGCCTCCTAACTTTCTAGTTTGGTGCCCTCTTGCGGGAAAAAAACTGTTCCGTATTCCAAATTATGATACTTCATTTGCAAGCTAATTTGACAAAAATTCAGTGAGAATGCATTATGTAATTTTTCTAAGGGAGTAAACAAAATGGTGGTTCCACAATGGCGGACATGATTTGCAATTATGGTCAGATTTGATTCGAAAGTGGTGGTTTTCAGGAACGGAAATTATGATTCGTTTGTCAATGCAAAAAAGCAATATGATAGCTCCAAAATGATGAATGAAATTTGTAATTGTGGTCTAATTCGAATCAAAATGTTTGTGAAACACATGTTTGTGACAATAATGCAAAAACACGTCGATTCTATCCAAGGGGGACATCTTTCTGTCGTAACCTCAACTGTCATACCTCACTCCTTGGTCATTCATACAATTTGAATAGGGAAAGTATTAAGTGTGACACATCATTGAAAAGGTAATATCATAAGGAATTCAGACATGTGAGTGTTCGCTATTTAAGTTTTCATTTTGTTGTCCTTTTGCGGGAAAAACAACTCTTTTGTATTCCAACTTGTAATTGAGAGGTAACGTGAACAATTCACGAGAAAAGAACAAAAATTGAAAAAAAGGACAATTGCATGAACTTGAAAATTGGGAAATTGTACGTAAATTCAACTAAGATCAATCCAAACTACAATAATTCACAGTAGATACTCGAAGGATTCTCCATTCACTGTCATACATGAGTATAAGTTCGTCTCAAAACGTTGTCTGTCGTTTTGGAGCATGTCTGGGGTTATTTGACGACGTTCGGTTATAATACGTTGACGTAACTTTTCTAACGAACCTGGCTGATGGATATATTTTACTTCTCAAATAGCCATAAAAAAAGTAATCTAAGGAGGATAAATAAGGAGATCGGGGGATGGGGCATTCAATGCATCCTGTTCTTCCAATCCAGTGTCTGAGAAACCTTTCAGTCAGGTACTGACGAACCGTTACAGCGAAATGTGGAGGAGCTCTGTCCTGTTGGAATATTAGGTGATCGTCAAGGTATCGGTTATCGTTTTCTATATGCCCGATAATGTTGGATCAACGGTATCTTCGAGTAATTCCAAATACATAGTCAGATTACTTGGTAAAAAATGGACTAATAATACGATCGCCAAATATTAACTTTTGTGGATGTTGCGTATGTACTAGGTGAAACACTCTTGAATTACAGTCTGGCCAGTATCAATCACTCAATCGTTATCGGTTAACAAAAATGGTGTGACATAGGGAACATTACAAAACTTTGAGAAATTCGTGGAGGTGAATGAAGAATTTGTTTTTCAAACTTTGAAAGGTATTAAGAAAGGTATTTGGGTGTAATAACCTTATTATTACTCTAATAATACTATACTGCCCCTTTATTGTGCCACATATAACGTATATAAAATTAACTCTTGTATACAAAACTCCTATTTTCCACAGTTATGGAAGGAAGCTCTCGTCAATCCTCTGCCAAAAATAAATTCACCATCAGAGTTTTCTCACTTACGTTCAGTTCCGATTCTACTTGTTTTTCAAAAATGCTCGAAAGAGCCATTGATTCCAAATATCGACTCGATAAATTATTTACCACCGAAACAATTAGGTTTTCGGCCAGGTTACAGCTGTAGCTCTGCATTGACTGATGAATCAGATGATGTTCTGAGGGGAATGGATGAAAGTAAGGCAACGATCCTGGTACTCCTAGACTACACAAAATCATTCCTAACGAACAAATTACAGCGAGTACTGTATAAAAATGAGACATCGAAGGCGATTACTGTCACCACTGGTGTACCTCAAGGGAGTATGTTGAGTCCATTATTTTATGCAATTCATACTGCACAGTTCGTGAAGTCATTAACTCGTTGCAAGTATCATCTATACGCAGACGACACGCAGCTATACTTTTCCTTCAACTCATCAGATACTGCAGCAGCAGAATATTCCCTCAACTATGATCTGCAAAAACCTTTTGAAATATCAAATGAACATTTATTAAAAATCAATCAAAAAAATACATGGCTATATAATTTTTTGTAATGATAGAATCAGAGAAGAATTGCAGGCATCTTCGAACATTAGTATGGCTAATGAGATTATTTTTTACAGAACATACACTAGAAATCTGGGTTTGATAAAATTGATAATAAACTCATAGAAGGATTCCACCTGATCAGCGGTCGCCTTGACTTAAAGTGTGATGAATACGTCGTAGTTTGGCGGCTATTCGCCGCACTGCGGGCGTAAAAGGCCTGTTGGCCGCCCTGTAATCCATCACACATTGGATACGAAACGCGTGTTGTCTCGCCGACGTGATCTTATTATTATTATTATTATTAATTATGTCGATTGACAATCATGTTGAGATAAAAACTGCATTCATCCAAAAAAGGAATGTTGAAAACGAAATTTGGATCAAAATGGTATATGACGATTAAAATCTTTTTCGTTAAGTTTCTAAACCAGTTTAATTTTATATGGATGGAATCTGTAATTTTTGAAAATTCGCCAGTTTGTCGAAATTTTGAAATTAGTTCTAATACGTATTTACGATTTACGTATTTGTTTGGGTGTTGCTCATTGAGAACTCTACTGGCTGTGTTGGCACATTTATTATTTTTGAAATAATATTCAATTATTTGTACCCTATCCTGAATAAAATAAACCATTTTATAGTTTACTCGTTAATGGACCTGATGTACTACTGACAAGAAACTGACACGCATAAGCACTGAAACAAAATATTTTTTATTAAACCAATACAAGCATAGTAAGTCAAATTTTTCCAAAGGTACGAATGTCATCAAATTACTTCAGAAATGCTCAAAAACGTCAGACGGCATTTCGAGAATAACTTATACTCATTTATGGCAATTTATGGCGAACACTTTGAACATCTACTGTGAATTAATGTCGTTTGGGATGATCGGATTTGAATTTATGCAAGGTTTTCCTTTTTTTTTTTATAACCTATGTCACACATCAAAAAAATATAATTTTCTTTTTAGCGCATTCATATAAAAACTTTCATTTATCAATCAATCAATTTTGAATCGAATTGAACCATAATTACAAATATCGTCCGACATGTTTTTTGCATCGACAAAACATTCATAATTTCGTACCCTGAAAATCCTCATATACTAATTTTGACTCGAATTGGACCATAATTACAAATTTCGTCGGCAGTTTTGGAGCCATCATATTGTTTTTTTGCATTGACAAACATATCATAATTTCCGACCCTGAAAACCACTACTTATCAATTTTGAATCAAATCGGGCCATAATTGCAAATATTGTCCGCCATTGTTGAGCCGCCATTTTGTTTTCTCCATAGAAACATTCCATAATGCATTGTCACCGAATTTATGTCAAATTAGCTTACAAATGAAGTCAATTTGGAATACGAAACAGTTTTTTCCCGCAAGAGGGCGACAAAATTGAAATTCAGATAGCGAAAATTGACATGGCTGAATTCCTTATAAAATTGCCTTTTTAATGATGAGTTCAATTCAAATTGTTTGGGTAATAGTGACCGAGGAGTGGGGAGAGGTATGACAGTTGAGGTTATGATAGAAAGATGTCGCCCTTGGATTACAAATCGACGTGTTTTTGCATTTTTTCCAGAAAACATGTGTTTTAAAATCATTCGATCTGTTTCGTTTTCAGAGCCCCAACCTGCATATTCCTCCTACAAAAAGTACAATCAATCAAGCTACAATTTCAAAAATTTTGCGTATAAGCGATTGCTATCATGTAGGAATCGCACGTTGAAAGGCAAAACCTCGTTATTTCTTAGCTGTAACAAATTTCAGGGGACGCCCAATCATGGCTGCAGGGTACTAATTGCATCTACCAACAAGGAAACGCTTTTCTGATCCTCTCAGGGAAACTGCGTCCATTCAGACCAAAATGTGCAGCTCTGGAATTTTAGCTGTGGACCAGTTCTGGAGTACCTTCTATGCCAGTCATAATTTCATACTGAAGAGATTTTAGTTCTAGTTGATTGATCGATATTGAGGTTGTCGGATGTTCGAGGTGCAATAAAAGCAGTAACCTTTCTACATGAAGGCATTTGTAAACAACTATACCTGGCCATACCTTACATTCAGCCATACAGGGCATTTTAGCCTCTGGTTTGAAAGAATCATCGTTTTAGCGTTCGCTACCTGCTAGGGGGAATTTGATGCCTTTTCTAATACAGATCGTGTTTCTGCTGCTGAAAAAGTTGGTGCAAGGTATTCATAAGATTTGCGGGTCCTACTCTTATGGAGATTTTAAGTCGCTTCTCAGCTGCACCACCTAGTCCCCTAGGTTTGTGAATGGGATTAAGAATTGGAAACCTGATGAGGTCTTGTCTTGATCCGATATTACAAGGAGGACAGTTTGGTATGCCTGTTAAGCCATCTCTTGTATTGGATCTGGGTCGGCATTTTTTGGTTACTTTGTGCTCCATATCGGAGCTAGCTAGGGGGAGGGGATCTATCACGGCAAAGCCCAGAATTTTCGTACAACCGACAGATACAAAAAATGACATCTAGTAGAATCCAATACCCGTCGTGGCGTTATCCAGAGAATCGCTCGTTCACCGCAGTAATTTTATCTGGGTTTCGAATAAATTTTTCGATGACCAGCTGGCGTCCCGATACGAATGACAACCCTCGAAAATCGAAATTTTGCACAGTTCTGCCAAATTCCACCCTGTAGAAAAACTGGTGACGATGCCTATATTTTTCGGATATTATAGATAATATTTTTCAAATGCAACATGCTAACTAACTGGATACTCACCCAAATAAAAATAACAGCAAGCTGTATTCAAAAGCGAATGTTCAATATCATAATCATTTTTCATGTGATCTTGATAAATATTCAGTGCCTTTTTATAATCGCCTCTATGAAAGGCACAAAATGCCATCCACTGTTCTTCAGAATCATTTCTACCTGTGCACTGTTTGTACTGAAATTGAAAATTACAAATAATAAACCAAAAACAGTACTGTTTGGGCTTTCAATAAATAATCAATAGAGAATACTGATAACATCTGCCAATGCCAAAAATAAAGAGATGTGTCAATTTAAAATTTTAATATTTCGATTGATATTGAGAATCTACCAATTATAAAAACTGTATCAAAACGATTTGAGAAATAAAAGGTGATTTATGACAACTTATAGATAGAAATGAAATCATGTAATGAACGCTAGAAGAAGGAAACACTTCAATTCCCCCTAAATGATTCATCTGATTTGCCACTATTCTAATTCGATTATGAAAAAAATGTGTCTTCTATCTTCGCCACTTGAAAAACAACCACTATAAATTTATATAAATACAGTTTTCGCTTTTTCGACGCACCAAGATCTCATCAGTGGTGCTAAACTGAATCACGAATGCTTTGTTGGCCTCAATTTCTCTCAAACAACAAGCCTGAGTAATCAAAAGGTGGTGACTTCTCCTTTTACGCAGATGCCACTTGAGGGATTGACTGAAAAGTCAATACATGAATATCAAAGATAAACAAGGCTCTCCACAGCGGACCATTGAAAAGCCAAGTCGAACTATTTTTCGGGAGGGAAGATGACATCGCCTTCACGTTCTGAGGCTTGTTCTTTAAGGACAATTAAGTTAAACAGTGCATTGTGGTTCGGCCTAGCACCACTGATAAGACCTTGGCGGATCGAAACAGCACTGTTGGATTTTGCTTCATTTTGGGCTGTGGTTTCATTTAATTGTCTTGCACTGAAAGACAAGAGGACGAATCTCGAATGGTTCGATATAGTCTCATTTATCTTTGATATTCGCGGATTTAGTGTTCTATCGGTCCCATTGATGTTCTCGTGAGGAAATATGTCATTGCCTTCACTTAATCATACAGTACATCCATCTATTAATCAGATGATGTGATATAAAACTCCATTGGAAAGTTCTTTAAATGTACTTTCGGCATTAGAGAGTACTCAGAAATAAAAAATCAAAAAGAGATTTGCAACTTACCTAACATAATTTGAAAGCCTCAATTTGAAACGTGCCAACCCACTTTAAAAAGTATCAATTGACAGATTTCAACTCTTCAACATAAAAAAGTTTGGAAAGTGTTTGTTACTGGCAAATTTATTTTCACATTTACAACATAGCGATGAATCTCTCTTTCAATGAAAATAAAATATCCAAAATTTGGGATTTGATCCTGAATGAAGATGACCAATCCTTTAGTGATTCAACACAATAATACCCTCTGGACTAAATTTTGTACATTTTAAAAAACTTTCATTGGGATAACTGCATTCATCTCAGATTAGACATGGATGTCTAATCTGATGTCTCAAGATGTCTCAAATCGGTTTCAACAACTTGGTTTCAACTTATTAAATTTTTTTATGAAATACTTACAAATGTAAGAATAGCAGAATCAAGTTTTTCACATTTTCAATATAAATAAATATTACTTATCTTCCCATCGACTCACCATCACCATTAAGTCATCATTTTTAATATTCTATGTATCTATGTAAGTACCAAAATTATATTTGTTATCTGGTGAAGAAAAATAATCAATTCGTTATAAAGCTTGAAACAGAAAAATTGAAAGGGTCTATTAATTTTATTTATTGTGCATTTTTATAAAAAAAGAAATTACAATTACACCAAAATTTCACCAATGAATTTAGTTTTGAGATGCGTATACTTGTGAGCCAATATGATGCTCACTGTAACACCGTACATATTCAGCCTCATTGCGAAATGACCCGGTTCGCTTCCAGAAATATTTTGATTTTTGGCCGTATCCAATGGATTTATGATTTCACTGTTTTCAATTTTTGAATAATAAAATTGTTTAATCACCTCATGGAACAAAGTGCAATTTTCTGTTTCCATCGCTAAATTAAATAAATAAGAATGGATTTTTTTATTCTTTTTCAGTTCGTAAAGATGAATTTATTATTGTTCAAATCCATTCACCATAGATATATGTTAAACTTTTCTATGAACATAAAAATTAACATTGAAAATTAGCATATCATTAATACTTATAATTGTTAAGAATTAAGTAGGGTTGATAACCAATTAATTCCCAATGTACTTTATTTGGGTACACTTCATTAAAATGACCCTAGTGACATCTATACATAAATTTCATAAGTTTCGACTGTCTACTCGGTGTGTGGTAGGTATCTTTTGCTCAATTCTTGAATGGTGCAGATTTCTGTATACCTGTTTACATGGAAAGAATTTGTTTTGTCAACAACAACGTGTGCATGATTGCAGTCCTGTAATAAAAAATTGTTATACTGCTTGCTGGCGGTTTTAGGTAAGTGTGTGCTATATATTCAACTTCTCTAAGTGTTACAATACTATCTTATACTATTTTGATCTCACGCAAGTGTTTTATCATAACAGCAAAACCATTTATTTCTACTGTACTTGATTGAGTACACTGGGATTTTCAGACCAATTTTTTTTATAGGCATAATGGATACTGATGAACTTCAACCCTTATCAACGAGATAGAAAAAACTACAAACATTTGGATATGGCTTTGGATGATTTGGAAACATCTGAAACGCAGAATTCTGTTGATATTGTGGTCTTGCCACTCAATGTAGATTCTCAAACGGACGAAGAAGATGATGACGATGACTACATACAAGAAAGAGAAAATACACTTCCCAGAGATGTAGCCGGAGAAGTAGAATTACATTTTCATGACAATGATAGTGGAAGCAATTATTCAGATGGTTCAGATTTAGAATATGATTCCGAAGACAATGTTCCTTTGGCAGTTTTGACGAAGCGCTCTAGAAGCCAATCTAACAAAACTAAAAAGCCAGCCAAGAAAGTTCCAGAACCGAAATGGAAAAACGACCTACTAAAATTGATATGCCAGAAACAAATGGATATGCAGATCGACTCGAAATAATGAAGAATGATCTTGAAAATTTCAGTCCTGTACAACTATTCGAAAAAATTTTTGACGATGACATTTTTCAACATATTAGAGATCAAACAAACCTGTATTCTACTCAGAAAAATAATCACAGTTTTTCTGTAGATCTGAAGATATTTTTTGGCATTTTATTGCTTAGTGGATATCATAGGCTACCACGTGAAAAACTTTATTGGAGCTTGGGCGAAGATCTTGGTGTAGCTTTTGTGTCAAACGCTATGTCACGGAACAGATTCCAGGAAATTAAAAAATATATCCACTTGGCAAATAACGATGAGTTGGACAACAATGATAAAATGGCAAAAATTCGACCACTCATGAAGTCATTGAATCAAAAGTTTCAACAATATGGGGTATTTCATCAAGAACTTTCCATTGACGAAGCCATGGTCAAATATTTTGGCCATCATTCAGCAAAGCAGTTTATAAGAGGAAAGCCGGTCCGGTTTGGGTACAAAGATTGGATGTTGTGCGGATCCACGGGCTATTGTTACGCATTTGACACTTATTGTGGAGCAAAAATATCAAAAAATCAGACAAGCGATGAAAACCTCCCTTTAGGTTCCAAAGTGGTTTTGGATTTGTTGGAAATTGTGGCAGTTCCATCTGATCATATTGTTTACTTCGACAACTATTTTACCAGCCACGCTTTATTGAAAACCTTGAAAGACAGCGGCCAAAGAGCCACAGGCACAGTCAGAGAAAACAGAACAAAGAAATGTCCGCTTTCAGCAGTAAAATTATTTCAAAAAAGGGACCGAGGCGAATTTGAATACGTCTACGATAGCGACTCTCTATTACTTTTCGTACGTTGGAAAGATAATAATGTAGTAACCATGGCCACAAATCATGATTCTGTGGAGCCGCTCGGACAAGTCAGACGGTGGTCGACAGCAGCAAAATCAAAAGTTCAAGTTCCACAGCCCAAAGTCTTTCAAAATTACAACCATGGTATGGGTGGTGTTGATCTGCAGGACCAAGCTGTAAATAACTATCGAATCAACATTCGAGGAAAGAAATGGTGGTGGGTACTGTTCACACACATGATCAATGTGTCAGTTGTTAACGCTTGGAGGCTTCATCAACTAGCTTCACAAGAAAAAATGGATCTGTTGGCTTTTCAAAGAGATATAGCACGGCACTACCTGGTTATGTTTCTAAAAGGAGAGTTCTCAAGAACTAGGCCCTCAGTATCACTACCCGATGGCATAAGACTCCAAGAAGGTGGCCATTTTCCAAATAAATTGGATAAACAACTGAGATTTGAGCAGTGCCACATGAGAGCTAGATGGTTTTGCGCAAAATGTGGAGTTACCTTATGTATTGAGCGTGATTGCTTCCAAATTTATTAAGGTGGCCATTTTCCAAATAAATTGGATAAACAACTGAGATGTAAGCAGTGCCACATGAGAGCTAGATGGTTTTGCGCAAAATGTGGAGTTCAAACTCATCCACCGTTCAGAAATTTGATTTAAAATAAAAAAGACCGTGGGACTTAATGGGTTGAATGTATATTGGCAATTTCTATCAACATTTTTGGATCACAAAATTTTGATTTCACAATACTATGCCCATGTAAATTCCTATTATCTAAAAATGATTTTTATTATTACTAAGGCTAAGCTCTAGCTCGGAGCCCCGATACATTGCGCCAACATTATCAACCAATGACCACTATCCACACCGCGGGGTAAATTATCATTGGGTCCGAGAATCATGTGACCTAAGCAAGCACAGTGAACCAAGAAAAACAGCCTTCTGCATTTGTCCGGCAAAGATTTCTGCTTTAATGCGGCATGTCGGCATGATATTGAGATTCAAGAGTTCATCATTTCACCAAGGAATCCATTAATCAGAACAACCATATTGACAGAGTGATCTGGATAGAGTCTGTAGAATTTGAAGAGAAAATCCCAATATGTTATCCGTTTTGCCTCATATTTTTGGACGATATTCGTTTTGCCAGGATCTGTAAACTCCCCGACAAATATCGTCTTGCTCTGGCGGTCAATAAGAACTATATCAGGCATATTAGCTTGAGGGTGGTTTAAAAATCTATTTAAATATGCTTTTCCGTTAATCAGCTGTCGCCCCCATACGAACGACAACTCTCAGAAGTTGAGAAACTTGTGCGAGCTAAGGACTAACGAGGTCTTACCTTTTAATGAGTGATTCCTAACACGGTGAACGAATAGTTCCAATGAATTCGAAACTTCTTGTTCCCCACAACGGATTCAATATCTTCCTGAGCGTAGGGTAACACCGGTGTCTCGTCAATACCGTAAAAATGTCGTAGAGCTGGTGATGAAACACTCTTAGGGCCGGTTATGTCTATGGATATAGGCTGAGACCGCATATGCTGGATATTAGGGTCTCAGGGGCCTCGCGGCAGGCCCTGCACCTTGTGTCTGTGTATTATATTTTTTCCCCTGAGGTTGCACTGATCGGCTCCTATCCCCAATATCAACCGTTAGTTCGGGAAGCTGAAGATGAACAATCTTTTCATCCATCTCACCCCAACCAGGTAGGGTACACCATGAAGGGCGGCACTAATGTTCTGAGAACATTCATGTCGCCACCTTACCATCAGTCATGACCCATTTGTCTCTCTGATAAACATCAGTTGAAAGGGTAAGGAGCCAGGCTCTAATCTGTTTGAAATCACGCCGAAAAACAGCATTATCAACCAACGACCACTATCCCACACCGTGGGGTAAGTGATAATTGGGTCCGAGAATCATGTGCTATGAGCATGCGCAGTAAGCCAAGGATGAAAGCCTTCTGCATCTGTCCAGTTAAGATATCTGCCTTCGTGCGGCAAGCCGGTATGATTTTAAGATTCACGAGTAAATAGGGCATCATTCCACCAAGGATTCCAATAATCAAAACAACCATCTTGACAGAGTGGTCTGGATAGGGTCTGCGGAGTTCGAAGAGAAAATTTCGATATTTATTATTATTATTATTACTATCATCATTATTATCAAATGTTTACCTCCAGTAAGGTGATGGCACCTGCATAGTCACGTTTTTGTAAATAAAAGTCAAACTGTGAACTATTTTTCGATAAATTACCTCTACCAAAATCTTTCGAAGACTCATTGTTCACTGAAATTGCTGGTTTTGCTCTACTCAGTATCTGAAAATATGATATCCATTAATTTAAAAAGTAGTCCTAGGATTAAAAAACTGTTCTTACCATTATTTATCAGTAGTAGATTGAAAAATTTCAATTCACATGGAAATTACCTTTTACTGAATGCTACACCTTTATGTTTGTATCGACATGCTTGTAACTTAGAAACATACCTAATCAAGTATATGTTACATTTGACATTTCATTCTGAAATCATAATACTAAGATATTAGTTCCATGACCCGTACCATGATTTTTATCAAACAATTGAAATTTTAATAACATTTTCATTAGAATTTCTACATTTATCTCAAACAAGAATCTCAATTTCAAATTTTACGCCAACACCGTTTCTCTCCTCTCTCTCTCTCTCTATGTTAATGGTTTTTGCTTCCGTTGAGACGCATTAAGCCAGCCGTTTCTCTCCTCGTTTTAGTTAAACCACGGGTTAAACAGTATGGATACGTTCCAAACGTTCCCAACCCAAACTAACCAGTATTTTTTTTGTAGCGGCTTCACTGTCAGACGAATATACACGTTGAAAGGACACTTTATAATACTCTATAGAATTGTGACGTCAGCAGAAATATTAGATATTAATCTTTATTTTCATTACATCAGTTGCAATTATTGATTTTTTAATGTCTATAAATTCAAAGATAATTAAAATTATTTGTCATTTTAAAAATTAAATCAATATTTGTGTTCATCAATTGAAAAGGGATAGATGAAAAGATATGATATTTATTTCCTGAAATATCAATAAATCATCTGTTACAACATATAATTATGATAGAGGAGTATGCATAAAGCTTCGGGAGCAGATGTCAGGCTGCTTATTACATGTAAGAAATATGAATGAATATTCGCCTTTGATATATACCTCAGACGTACATAAAACGTCAATAAAACCTACAGACAATGACCAACAACCCTGGAAAATAACTTTGACAATGTTATATCCGGCTCTGAAAGTTTACACCGTATGATCAGAGAAAAAATTAGATTGATAAAATAGAGCACAGTCTGAAGTTAATCACAACTAACAGTAAACAAAATAGATTCAATAAATCTGACAGAAAAATGTCAATATCTTTTTGTTCCCAGTTACAGGTCCAATCGGTCCAATGTTATTTATCATATTAATTGTGGGTTCATGTCAGAATTCTTACGTGGATATTTAAAGATTGCCTTGTCTCTGGAATGATGGATAATTTATCGAAATAGCAGCTTCATGTCGGTAAGTAATTTTTACACTTCCGACGATTGTAGAGCATTTTCATATGTCTTCTGTCAGTTTTGATACGTCGCCTATCACTTTTGAAGATAAATCAGCTAGTGTTGCAAACCTCTCGGCGCGAAATGCAGCGCTTTGTTTGCAAATCATTCAAAACTTGAATTTTTTAGTCAAATGTAACTGTTTTTGATATAATCTAACAATTTTTTTCGAACCGGCACAACACTGGTACTATATAGGTAGTTCAGTTTCTAACCGAACCTGATATAAAATATGCTATTCCATATATAAAAATTGAAATATTAGATAACATAGTCGTGATGAATATTTTAGCTTTCAGATCATTTTCAATGTATTATAGTATCCTTTTTGAATGAATGATCGAAAAGTACATTTATTAAAACAACGATAAAAATAAAAACAACAATAAAAATTAATTGGCGCTCCGGGGCGACTTCATTGATTCCAGTGGCGCATTTGAACATAAAGTAGCGGAATTCTCTACAAATAATTAACATTGAAAAAAATATGGAAGAAGAAGAGGCAGTAGACAGCATTCGAAGCTGACAGCTGACAATTGAATAATTGAATGCACAGTTATAGTGTTAGCAGCTGAGGCCATTTCATGATGAAAGAGAAGAAGAATATTTTTGGATATTTTCATTACTATCATAAACCTAAAATCTTCAATATCTTGGAACTAAAAGTCTCGACTGTCTCGAGTATTATGAATTAAATGCAACAAATTACAGTGGAAATTAAAGATACTTCATCTGATTGTAGCTCGAGCGAAAGAGCTACCGCAGTTGAAATTGACTGGAACGAGACATGTTCAAAAAAATACAAAAAGTCTTGAAAACAATATTTTTCTCAACATTGGTTGTCTGATTCCAACTCGAAAGGATGGATTAGACCTGTCGCTAATGATCGTTCAAGAGCTCATTGTGACTATACGTACTTAAATAAATTGATATTTATTTTTACTTTTCAAAATCATTATTTCGAACTAATAAATATTTAGTCGATAGGACAGCTTTCAAAAATCAAATTTAGCAAATTAGATACCATTTACTGAGTTGCGCGGTTGAAAATTAGCATGATCCTGATTCCTGGCATTAGTTACAGTTCGGTGTTTTGGTATCTGAACGGTAGACAAACCACAAAGCAGTGTAGCGGAATATAAAGCAGTGTAGTGGAATTTTATTTCATGTGTAGCGACTTTATAGTTCATTCAGTTGGCAACACTGTCCAGTGGCGACATAGGCCTTTTCATCATAAAAAGAGCGCAAGCGTAGCCGTCATATAGAAATGGCGGTAATTCAAAACATTCGTACTGTTTTGATCAACAATGGCTGGGCAAGGAATATTAACTCTACAAACAAATAAATTATTGCAAAAAAAACATTGATGGTGCTTCACTTGTTTATAATTCAGTTAAGGTTCATAATTGTGAACAATTAAAAACGTGGTTAAAACGTCATGGGCGTCCGCAAAAAGGAAAAAAGGTGAGCTAATTGAGAGGTATTAGTATCAGCATTTGTTTACTATCGAAAACATATAAAAAAAATAGTATTCAATAGTATTAATTAGACAAATATGTAAATACTGAATTGAATATGTTTAGTAATTTTTTATTAGTGGGAAATATTTGATACAACATAATATATATGAAATTTACAGTCAAAAGTTGAATATGAAATAATGTACGTATGTTAAAATTCCTGATCGCTTAAAGGAGCAGGGTTTTGTTCAGTTGGACCACTTTCTCCAATGAAATGTAGTGAGCAAATATAAGTATCTTTGGTAACATCATCAATAGATGTAAAGCCTCGGTCACTCCTGCCACATTTTTTCGCCCATAATTCACATTTCGCACATTTTGCACATGCTTTACACCAACACTGTTTTGTTGTTCCTTTTCGTACAGATAACATAATTATAATGGAGTATAAAAATTTTTTGCAAAATGTATTTCCAATTGTTTAAGAATTGTGAAACTTTTGGGTGAGAGTTGGAAAATTTTTCTGTCGAAAATGATTGACCTGTTCGAGATATATGTCTGGCAGACTCGACCTGCAAGAATTTCTGCCGACCTGCAAGGTTCATTTTCAATTTAATGAGGACTGTGGAATTTTTCCATACTCAAAAAGTGGGGGTTGGAATTTTTTTGTCGAAAATGATTGACCTGGTCGAGATTCATGTCTGGGAGATCCGATCTGCANAAAAAAAATTCCCGTTTATTTTCAATTTATTGAGGAATGTGTAATTTTTCCATACTCAAAGGGTGGGGGTTGGAATTTTTTTTGTCGAAAATGATTGACCTGGTCGAGATTCATGTCTGGGAGATCCGACCTGCAAAATTTCTGTCCTCCTACAAGATTATGAGAGCAATGTACCCTGAGAACAATTTGCTGACCTGCAAAATAGTTATACCCAAAACTGACGTAACGTAACCTACAATTCCGTTTCAAAACCATCCTTACAGTCTGGCCACGGGACATTCATCGATGCGAATATTCGCGTGATGCAAACGGCGAAGCGTCCAGCGATTGAAATAAACGTATAGCAATGTACTTATGAAGCCATGTGCAACGGCGACCGGCGAAGTGTACCAAGCGAACCGCGTGGGCAACTTGCGGCGCGGCGGGCGAGCAAAACAAAGGCTTGAATCAGTACGGCGTGAGCGTGAGTCACCGAGTTGAGCGGTAGTCGCGGCAAATAGTGCAGTGATCAAACGAGTTTAGTTGTTTTCGCCGCGAAAAATGAACACCGATTTTTATTGCTGAAATACTAGCTAGACCAGCTATTAGGAAGTCTGGCCATCCACAGCATAAATAAAAATAAAATGTCCAGATTCTGAAGGAAGGTAGTATTTTTTTATTCATTTAAGTACAAATAATTAATCAATAATATCACACTTAACTCGTCACTTCAACTTTATATATTTACTTGGATAGGTACTTTTAAATAATAACACAACTATCTTGTGTCAGCGCCAGCTACGTTGCGCTAGCTAACGTGACGTCAACCACAGTAACATTTATGGTATAAATCATCACAAATAGTTTACAAAGTAGTCTTTAAATTGATTTCTTATGCCTACAGCATGTAACGTAGCTCTATTGTTCCGTCGAGACGTCATAACTTGATTAGATGTAGATCTAGAATGCATGTAAAGTCTAAAATCGGGATCAGTGTTTCCATCTTTTTCTCTTACAATATTATGTAGTAGACATCCAACTTTGATAATTAGCTTTGCATGTTTGGTGTCTGTTTCGATTGGTTTGAGGAAAACTCGCCACTTATTAGTCATAATACCATAAGCACACTCAATTGTCACTCGAGCTCTTGACAATCTTTCATTAAAAATTCTTCTCGAATCATCTAAATTGTTCGATGGAAAGGGTCGCATAAGGTACGTTTTCAGTGGATAGGCTTCGTCGCCAACTAGGACGTGTGGCAGCAAAATCTTTGACCCAGGCAATATCTTTGGCGGTGGCATATTAAATCGATTGTTAGTAAGCAATTCATTACATTTTGAAAAATTAAATGTTCCGTCACTTTGTCTTACTTTTCCACCAATCTCAATTACAGAAAATTTATAATCAGCATCAGAAACTGCTTGTAGGACCAATGAAAAAACATTTTTATAATTATAATATTGGCTACCGTGATGGCTTCGTGGTGGCTTCTGAATGCGAAAATGTTTACCATCTATGGCTCCTACGCAATTAGGAAATTGCCATCTAGAGAAAAACTCGTCTGAAATTTTCCTTAAATCTTCACTTGTTAATTTTGGTGACATATGCTGAAAAACCAACTTTTTCCAAATGGCCTTTAAAGTTTGATATATCGTTTTGGCGACGGTGCTTCGGCCTAGAGAGTATGACTGAGCCAGAGATTTAAAAGTTATCCCAACGGATAGAAATCTGAAACATAAAATATTTATTCTTCATGTTCCTAC